CCCTATTTAAGAGAGCCAAGAGTAGGGTTCACAAGGGGTACCCTAAACCCTAAACCCTAAACCCCAAACCCTAAACCCTAAACCCTAAACCCTAAACCCTAAACACCGCCTTCTTGGGCGGAGGGGAGGCAGACTTGGATTTGGACTTCTCACCTGAGAGCTTTTCACAGAGCCGTCTGCGGCGACATGATGGTCTAGTCTTAGGGTTTGAGTTCAAAACGGGTTCAGGGTTTAGGGTTTAGGGTTTAGGGTTTAGGGTGTAAGGGTTAGGGTTAATTAAAGGAGTTGAGGTCAGGTTTATGGTTTGCTGTGAAGTTGTCAGTGGGCCAAAGCCTCCTGCAAAAACGTGGAACCGATACCATCGCGTAACGAAGAGGATCCGACTGCGTCGTGGTGGGACAAATAGTCGCCAAATGGGTGGTTGTCAAAATTATGGTCCCTTTTTGGTCCTTACTATAATACGGCACCCATTATTTAGGGTACCCCAAAAGGGACCATAATTTCGACAACCACCCAAATAGGAAAGAAAGAAGCGTGTTTCAAAACCATCTGATTTACTTCAGGCTAAAGGCAAGGTTGCTCCAAGTAGGTTACATGTCGACAAAGCAAGGTGCATTGAAATGCCCACACAACACCTACAACAAACTCCACCCAAAAGTAGGTTAGCAGCACATTATTGTAACATGTAGGGCAACGTAGGGTTCTGTAAGATCTGAGCATATACTAAAATAAAAAAACTACTACCTACTACTAAGTTCTTACTGTTCTTACTGTGCTTATGGAAGCCCCTTTAAAAAAAAGCTTGGGGTGTGGAGGCCGGCAAGCCCGAACATGACTTTCAGGTCTGCTATTGAAATGGCCCCCGTTCCAAGGGGTGGAGGAGCTACTAAAAATAAACCCTCTGGCTGCCTGCCTAAGGGAAGGAACGCTTGTAGATTATGCACACACACACACTCTCTCTCTCTCTCTCTCCCTATAATGTGGCGGCCTTAATAATTAGAATAGGGTTTTGGGGCCCATTATACCAGAACTATATTATGAGGAACCCCAAAATATTATCGGTAATTATTCAGGCTTTTCTATTAAAGCCCCCAGCAAAGGGGCACCGAAGATGGGGCTCCCGACTCTTCTTGTCTTCGTTGTCCTTCTCATCAGAGCTCTCCTCGACAGTGGGCTGCCGGAGGCTCAAGACTGACTTGGTAATATAAGTCATCATCATCACTATAACGATACTAGCAATAACAATAATACTAATAACAACAATACCAGATATCATAATAGAATAACAACAACCATAGTCATAAGTGACCTCTGATCGAGAAGGATCTCCTTGTCTGACTTCTTCGCTTTCTCAGCGTCGCTGTCTTCCTCCTCCTGGGGTGTCAGTCATCATTCGTGATGTCATTCTGCTTGCACGTGCTACCGCTATGGAGCTACATGTAACTGTGGCTATTGTCACGCTTTGCAGGTTCACTGCGACTGTACCATGCCATAGACCATGAAACTCCGACAAGGGAGCTTTTATCATCCCCTCATAATTAAACCACCCAAAACCCTATTGCCCCAAACCTGCTTCTCAGCGGCCTAAACCTCAAAACCCAGTACTCGCTCTCCTTCTTCTCCTCCTCCTTCTCGTCGTCACCTTGAACTACGGCCCCTCTTCAAGAGTATTTCGGGCGTGGGGGTCGGAGTTTCGCCAGAGGAATGGAACGCGAGCGCGAGGTCTCTGTGTGCAAACGATCAGATGGGTGCACAGTTATTTGTCATGACCGCTGTCTGTATACATACATACATACATACATACATACATACATACATACATACGTACATACATACGTGCATACATACATGCATGCATACACGCATGCATAAATACCTATATGTACATGTATGCCTGTGTGTATGTGTATATATATATATCAGTATATAATGTTATATTATATTATATTCAACTGTACTATGTTATATTATGTTATAGTATTACAAAAATACTGTTATATTACATTATATCATGTTGTATTATATCATAATACTGTACTATATTATATTATGCTATGTTTTATCATATGATGGTATAGATGGTATATTATGTGATGTTATATTATGTTTTACTATGATACATTGTGTTACACCGTGCTATGTTATATAATATGGTACTATATTATATATATATATATATATATATATATGCATATACATATATATATATATATATGTATATATATATATATACTAATGTATGAATATGCACACGGCAAGTTTGGTGACTGCGGTCTGCATGGGCAGCAAGGTATCACGGGAACCCGCTGGTGAGCGGACTTTCGGTCAGGTGGCTGCTGCCCTTCTTGTCTTTCTCATCCTCCTTGTTCTTGTTCTCATCGTCGCTATCCTTCAGGAGTCCCAATCTCGCCAGGCCCAGCGGGTTTTAGGGCAAGATGGGTAGAAGATCCTGGCCCTGCCCTCCTCTACTATGGTTTTCACAAAGCTCCCTACATGGGAAGGCCAGGCAGCGGACACCGCGAGGGCGGCGAAGGATGAGGAGGGAGCATACCAGAAGATTTGTGGATGTCTTCCGTATGGGAAGGCCTGAAGTTCAGAGGAAGAGCACACCTGCTGAAGAAGGGAGATTATGATAAGAAGAGCTGGCATGAACAGTTCGAAGTTGAAGCCAAGGGGTTTGGTAATCGTAACTCCCTACGTGCGCTTCTCCCTTTCCTCGGCTTCACAGTTTTAACCCGTGCAGCTTAAACAAAGACTGTTACCCATCATCCGTCGCAAGCCCCTCAAATTCAGACCTAGACCAGGAAACATCGCAGATCTTAGTCTGACAGGCTGGTGCTTAATGTGCTGCGGGTGAACCTGAAACACGACCCTAAACCTCATAAGCCCCGAAACGCCTCATAGGCAGCAAAAGCCGTCTGGGCCCTCTCCGCCGCACTCAAACCCAGTTCTAAACCCTAAACCCTAAACCAAAAACCCCAAACCCCCTGTATATTACCAAATATCCTCGGCCAATCCCCGGAAAAATCCGGGACTCAGCGCGGCTTTGGGGGGTCTAAGGCTTCGAGTTTTTCAGGCCTAGCTTTGGGTTTGCGGTTTAGGGTTTAGGGTTTGGGGCTTTGGATTTTGGGTTGTGGGGCTGTGGCGATAGGCTATCGGCTATACTCCGTCTCTACATCTTTGACCATGAACCCAAAAAGTCCCTCCATCCCAAACACCCAATACACCAAGGCACCCAAAACAAGACAAACCCTAAACCCTAAACCCTAAAACCCTAAACCCTAAACCCTAAACCCTAAACCCTAAACCCTAAAACCCTAAACCCCAAACCCGGAAGAGCCGTAGAGGGAACGAAGGCCCGAGTCTCTTGAGCTCCTTTTCTTCTGGCTGAAACATTGGGACTGGTCTCGGAGTGGCAACTCTCGACATAACTGGGCCTTCCTGTGGTTTAGGAGTTGGGGGGTTGAAGGATTTAGAGTTTTCGGGGGGTTCTAGTAGGGTGTTGGCAGCGTTGGCTGGGATTTCTGGGCCTTGGGAATCTTAGGGTTTAAGGTGTAGGGTGTAGTGCCGTCTTGGGGCTTTGAGTTTAGCAACTGCAACCATGGTGAGGCCTCAAGAATTAGAAGAGGGCTTTTGGGTATCATATACTGTACGTATAAGGAACCACCAAAATAATTGGTATAGGTAATGATTAAGGGCCCTATAGTAGGTGGTAATGGTCGATGCTTCAGCTGGCCCTCATCATTGCCTGATGCCGAATACGAAGCCAACAAGTCTAGAGCAGGGCTGATTCGTGCTATAGGATATTGAATATTGAATTCGGTGTATGGGAGAGCTATCTTTCTTCTGATACAAAGCTCCTATATAACCTAGAAACCCCCTAAACCCTAAACCCTAAACCCTAAACCCTAGACCCTAAACCCTATATAACCTATATAACATCAACCATCATAAAACTCTCGGGTCCGCCCGGTGACGAGAGAGTTGCCTGGCTCCTAAGGGAGTCAGAGCATGTGCCAAAGGTCCAGGGAGCTCGGAGGCCAGCCCTTGAAGCCTCCAAGAAAGAGTTCCCTATTATAGTTGGTCTTATTTTGGGGGTTCCCTATTATAGTTAGGGGATATTATACCCCAAAAATGCCAATCTTATTTTGGGGGTTCCCTATTATAGTTAGAGTATATTATATCCTGCAATATTATTTTGGGGGGTTCCCTATTATAGTTAGAGTATATTATATCCTACAATAGGGGTTCCCTACAATAGTTAGAGTATATTATACCCTAAAACCCTAGTCCCATTCTTTTAGGCACCTTGATATTCAGAATGAGGCTTTGGGGCAGAGATGTGATCAGGAACCCTGCGGGATAGTATTGGTGAATGGCTTTGGTAGACTGTAGGGTTCAGGCTTCGGGGTCTACGGACTTTGGGATGGAGGATTGTCGCAGGGAATTTTTCTCATGTATTTGGAGCGAGGCATGCTATGGGGCGGATCCTGAAGCCCTGCTGAGCACATCGAATTCTGGAAGATGGATGTCGGACAGCAGCCAGCTAGGCTCCACGAAGCAACAAACTTCAACTGCACCCTGTTCTGCTTTCGCATGCGACAGTACTTCTCCGAGCCCGCGCTGAATGCTAAGTCGAAAGCTATTCCGATGGAGTTCCCGGTAACTCCAAATATAGGGGCCTGTACAATCGAACTGTGATTGTCGCGCATTTCTGCTAGAACTAATTATAACAAGGCAACTCTAAGGAACACATCTACGAACTATTCAGGCCCCTATAGTTACTGGCTTGTTCGAATCGAAGGTGTCCCTTCAAGGTGGCGTGCGCTGGGCTACGAGTTTAGGGATTGAGGGTTCAAGCTTTCCGGGTTTCCGCAGCACATTCATAATCATAGTCCAAGTCACAAGAAGAACCGTCATAATGATCATGGCAAGATCCGTGATCGCGATGATGGCCACGGTAAGCATAATGATTCTACTGATATAATCTCAATTATAAGTGATACGGATATTCAACGGTAGCAATATTTTCTAATGACCACAAGAGCCCTGACTTCCCCACCTTTGCCTTTCAAACAGGGACTCCGAGATTCAAGCAAGCCCGATCTGGGTCTGCGCTTGACCGGTTCGGGGGGCAGGGGTCCCCCGTCCGAGGACGTCTGTATTTAGGTGTTTTTTTTTGAATGCCTTTTCCCTTCCGCCTAGTGGTGTCCGAAACTTCAAGATTTTAGGGTTTAGGATTTAGGGTTTCGGTTTAGGTGTCAGATAGGTGATAGGGGCCTTAGTAATTAGACCAGGGGCTTGGGCCACGTTTTGATATACTCATCATAGAGAACCTCGAAGAAAAGTGTTCGTTAGTATTTAGGCTTGCATATTGGGGTTTGGGTCTGGGGTTTAGGGTTTAGGGTTTAGGGTTTAGGGTTTAGGGTTTAGGGTTTAGGGTTTAGGGTTTAGGGTTTAGGGTTTAGGGTTTGGGTCTGGGGTTCGGGATCAGGATTACCATAGGCCCCCGGATGAGAAGGGCAACTGGCTCCGTCATAGCTTTTGGACGCTGAATCCGAAGTTCATAGTTAAGGGAGCTACGAGTTACATGATTGGTGTTGGAATGCGAGGTTTAGGGTTTAGGGTCTAGGGTTTAAGGACCAGTCTGGGGTTTATGAAATACCGAGTTTGCGCTGGAGTGTTGAAGCGATCTTACACGACAGCAGCAAGGGGAGATGAAGGAAGAAACTTTTTGGTGGAGGCTCCTACATGTCGTGAACCAGATCCTGTTTATCGATCGAGAATTGTAGCGCAGGCCCTTGGCAAGTTGTTTCTAAAAAAGTTCAGCGATGGTACATGGAACGTTGAGACTACGTCCTCCAAAAGCTACTCAGCTACTGTCCACACCACACATTCACGCAAGAGTCTGCTCTGCTTGGGATTGGTGGCTGCAGAGTTCGAGGACTGACTAGAGTACTGGATGAGGGCTTCATTGAAAGTCACGGCATCTCGGTGGCTGAGGGCGGGATGTCGCGTTGCTGCAGTGACTTCGGATGCAAAACCCCAAGTTCACATGAATGAAGGGCTTTCGACGGCGTGAGGTATGTGTGCAGTAGCAATCAAAGCCAAGGACGAGCGGCTACCCTGCTAGCTCGAGACATTGGAGCGGGCAGGGCACAAAATGGTCTGGTGTCGTGACCATAATCAGTCTTAAACCGCCTCATTGTACAAAGGTACTTAATCCTGAGATCATGAACCCACAAGCTTGAAACCAAAGCTTTTAACCCTGCAGTCAAGCCCGAGGTAGGAAAATTGATATCCTCAGCGGCTTGCACAGGAGATGGCATCTTTGAAGCGCGAAAAGCAGACGCAGGTTCGACTCTCACGAATCACGGCGAAGATTTCCGTGAGACGTAGGACCGATTCATCATGCGCGCTCCCACTCCAGAGCCATGTCTCTGTAAATCATACTGTTCCTGATACTTGTTGCACGAGAAGTCACGTACAATCTGCACATGTGGACAGCTTAAGCGAGTTGGCCAATGACGCAACTTCCCCAATGTAACCGCTTCAAGTAAACAGGGAAAGGTTCTCAGAGGGCCCTCAAATGTTGGAAACCACCCCCGTTTTGATTTTGCAGGGACGAGGTTTCGAAGTCTGGAAAGCATCATTAGGCGGTGCTTCGCTGAGAGCTAAATTCCACATGGCCCGCCGGAGAGGACAGGCTTTCATTCGTCCAGCAGCGTGCCATCCCACAAGGATTCCTCAACGGCGCCGTTATAGGCATGGGCTGCTGTAGGGGTTTGGAAGGTGTACTGAGACTACTAAAAACACAAGAGGACAAAAGAAAACCACCCACGATACCAGTTATTAAGTCACATGGTTCACTCAGTTTGTTCACTACGTGCTTAATCTATCGAACGCATGCTTTCACCATCTTTTCCTTTTTAAATTCGAACATGTCCTCTTCATTCTATCACTCAGCACATGCCAGCTCCCAGGATATAATGGTAAGCTTAAGAAGGGAAAAGAGTCCTACCCAAGCGAAGATGACTCAACTGGGCTAATAGGATGTAGAGTACTGGACTGCCCTTCCTCCGGGTTCTCAGCTTCGGGGACTTGACCGTGGAGTCACTCCAAGCAGGTCAGCTGCGCTGTCCCTACCATCACTTCGGCTCGTGGCTTCTGTCGTTTCGGCCCATGCAGCGGTTCTCGAGTGTGCGACAAATGGCTGAGGGGTGTTCTTTCTTCGGGCAGGACAGTTTTAGCAACAACTCCCCTTTCACTATTACAACCTCTGCTCCCCGCAAAGGGTTAAGCCTGAGGCTGACCGCTACAGCAGCAGCAGTCATCATCAGGATCAGAACTATCGACAACCTTCAGTACGAGCAGTGATAATGATGATGA